CGCATCCTTGGGCTCCCCCCGCAGCGTGCGAGCCATGCAGGAGCAGCAGAGGCCCGGACAAGCCTTCCTTCAGCTGGGCGAGGAAGGCAGGAGGGCAGCAACACTGCCTCGCACGGACCGAGGGTTCTCAGAAGCCTCCTGAGTGTTAAAAGTACTTGCTGTTGAGTCCAAACAAGGATGTGAGGGCTGACGGAGCCAGGGAAGCCAGACCTGCTGCTGCTCAGGAGAGCATCTGCAGCGCTGCCAGCTCTTAGCAAGCTTTCAAGYAGTCATTGCAAATGGACAATGAGATCTTGATCCCAGCAGGTCTTATTTATTTGGGCCAGTAAACTGCTGGATCTTCACCATCAGAGCTGGTGTGCAACAGTGTAAAAATCTGAATCCCCTTTAAGTTGCACAAGTGCTGAAGTGTGTCCAGAGGTGGGCAGTGGAGCTGGTGAAAGGTCTGGAGCACGAGTCTTATGAGGAGCATTTGAGGGAGCTGTGGTTGTTTCACCTGACAAAAGGAGCCCTGACAAAAGGGAGATGTTATCACTCTCTACAACTGCCTGAAAGGAGGGTGTAGCCAGGTGGGGGTCAGCCTCTTCTCCCAGTAACAAAGTGAGAGGTAATGGTCTCAAAATAGACCCAGGGAGGTTTGAAAAAATTTCTTCACTTAAAGGGTCTTTAGGCATTGAAACAGGCTGCCCAGGGAGTCACCATCCCTGGAAGCGTTCAAAAGATGTGGCTGTGGGCACTTACGGACGTGGTTTAGTGGTGAACACAGCAGTGCCGGGTTAGCAGCTGGACCTGCTGATCTTTCAAACCTAAATGGTTCTATGATAGGACCRTCTTGTTGAGGAATTATTTTTGCACTCTGAAGGAAAACACCCTGTTTGCTCCTATGTGTATCTGTCTCATGAACCTTTCTACATCTTCTGAAAAGCTAATTATGTGTAAAACACATGCAGGCATTTCACACACTGGAGCCCTTGAGCAAGGCCTGAGAGTTTTGGGGAGCCCAGCTGCAGGGTCTGTGTTCGAAAGACAGCCCTAGGAATCAGTAGACCGTTTGTAGTAATGAAGGGCATCCTGTGACTCGCCCGTTTTGCACTGTCACACGCCAAAASCAATTACATCAAATGCCTTGACAACTGGTGGACCTTGCAGGAGTCTCATGTTTTATTTATGACGGGTGATGCTGAGCATCTGTGACAGCTTTTGTGCTGTGCTGGCATTAAACTGCTGCAGTAAACTAAGCGCCACCTTTTCTGGGAGATGGATGCTTTGAAGGGGAATTGTAATGACAAATGTCACAGCTGTCATAAACAATGCACTCATAGTGCCCTTCAGTAACTTACCTGAGTCTTGAAAAAGAAAAAGGAGGTATCCAAGTTCTACAAATGTGATGGAGAGATSTGAGTTACTGAAGGGCTGATGTGGATCTGTAGCTTTGCTTAACTCTATGGTGAATGTACGGTGCAGTGGAAAACTACCAGAAGAGTAAATTCAATGAAGGCAAGTCTCCACTAGGAGTAAAATACATGGATTATGAAAGAAAAAGTGCATTCAATTTGTTCTTTAGTACCCTAATCCCTGTATGTATTCTCATCAATTTAAAGCAGTTTCCCAGTAAACTGAGAATCTTGACTTTTCTTAACGCTAAGCCTTGAATTCTGTTTCTGCTGTTACCACAACCTGTTTGTGTCCTTAGTTGTTTCTGCTCATTGGATACTCTCAAACTCTTTTGTGGAGGACTCATAGAAAAAAGTTTAAAGTGATATAAAGTGTATTATAGTCTAGGAATGTTTTCATTTTCTTTTGTCATTAAGAGAATAGGAGACATTTTTGTTTCTGCTACCTGAAAATTTCCTTTCTGCAGATTGGTACAACGGTCTTTCCTTCTCACATCTGCTTTGCAGCAGGATGGCAAAGCCCTAACACAGGCAGAGTTTCCAGCAGCACCAGATTTCCAGTTCCTGATACATAAATTAGTTGGGAAATGTAAAGGTTATGTGAAGATTATTTGGAAGAGTAAACACCTTCTCTCCTCTTTGTCCAGCCCCACCCAGGTTTTGCCTTTCACATTGGAACAAGAGGGCTGTCTTCCTGGATGYTGATTTGCTCTCTTTTGGACAAGATTTCTCCCGACAGAACTATTTCATGAATTTTTTTGAATGAAGGACCCACCTAGGAAAATGGGTGCTCAAAGGCACAACAACCCAGCATGATGAAATTTTCATGGTAGTTTACTCAGTAATGGGATGCAGAATCAAGGGGGAGGATTCCCTCCTCTCCTTCCTCCTCTCTCCTGTCTTTCTTTTTTTCCTATCTTTCTCAGCCTAAATGCCCTTTGTTTCCTCTTCAGGCTTAGGGCACGGAGACACATTTTTTCAAAGAGAGATTGTTTATCTCTGAGACTCTTCTGTGGGGAGGAGGTCCCTCTGTGGGTAGCTAATGCTGGGGGGCTCAGCTGGAGGCTTTTCTCTCTGACTGACTAAAGCTGTTTGCTCACACACTGAAGCAGACTGGTGTAAACTGACGGTTTAAATCCAAAGGGGCTTCCTGAGCGTCTCACAGGTAACTCCAAGATAAATGAGCTCCTCACCTCAGCCCTGATCCTCGCACTGCTGACCTGTCATCTGCAGTGGGACTTTTCTCCTGCCAGGCAGCTCCAGTTCACCCTGCAACCTTCATCCATGTTATTTGCATCTCCAGGGATGGGGGCCATTTTAATCCTCTTTGTGAAGGTTCAGGAAAGGCTTGGTGTGCCATCAGAATTCTTGCTGTTCCCAAGGCTTTTAGGTTGAGAGATGCCATGCTGTCTACCCACGGGACAAGGTCTCAGAGAAGCACAGGTTTGGCCTTTGCTGTCCCTGTTTCTTTCACAGCAGGAGAGGAGCTGTTGTGGCCACAGAGGACAGGCTGGATACACCCTGAGGCTCCCCCTTACCCAAGAGSGGCTGGGGGTGATGACTGTGAGCAGTCCTTTGGCTGCAGGTGAAACTGGGCTGTGAGGGGCTGTGTCAGACAAACAGCTGAGCTGCTTTTCAGTGCTGACCTTGGAGGCTGCACGCAGACAATGCTCATGTGTGTGCACAGGGCAGGCAGCAGGGAAAGGCTCAAGGGAATGGTCGGGCTGACAGGAGCCATTTCCCCTGCCTTTGTTTATGGGTCCAAATGTGGATTATTGTCCTGCACTAACTGCCAGTCGCTGCTCAGAGGTAATGGTGAGGCACAGCCATCTCCAGCAGAAGGTGGGAAGGCTGATCTGCCCTGGAGAAGGCACCACCTGCAGTGGTAGCTGGGGATGAGAGCCTGCTGCAGCCTTAGTCACACGTGTCTGCTCGCAAATCTCTGCTCTTGCACTACACTTTCCCAGCTCACACAGTGAAGACTGTCGAGTCTTCTGCAGAACACGGAGCATGGAGTTGTTACAGCTGGAAAGCAGGGTGGTTTGGATTGGCCTCATGGTATTTGGCTTGTCCTTCGCCCCAACAGGTAGGAAAGCTTCTTCTTTCCTGCCTTAGTCCTCTGAGAAGTGTTTCTGGGATTTCCCCTCTCCTCTCCTACACTTCCCTCTGTGAAGGTGAGAGGAAGAAACAGCCCTGTTTATTTCCTCTWCACAATTATTTCCTAATAATCTTTCCTCATGGTGTCATGGAAGGAAACAAATCCAAGGCACAAAACTTTCAGGAAGCTGTCAATCACTGGGCTGTGGCTTTCTTTGGAATCCCTCTGCTTGCAGTGTTTCAGGASCTCAGCATGTTTGTTGATGACACCAAGCTGAGAGCTGGAATGCTGGAGGGAAGGGATGCCATCCACAGMCACCTGCCAGGGTCTCCAGGCCTGAGGAGTGGGCCAGTGGGAACCTCACAAAGTTCAAATGAGGCCAAGTGCAAGGTCCTGCACCTGGGTTGGGACTGTCACTGGTATCAGGACAGACTGGGTGGTGAAGGCATCGACAGCAGCCCWGTGGAGAAGGACATGGGGAAACTGGTGGATGAAAAACTGGATTTAAACTGGCAATGTGCACTTGCAGCCCAGAAAACAAATCCTATCCTGGGCTGCATCCAAAGCAGCGTGGGCWGCAGGGTGAGGGGGGYGACTCTGCCCCTCTGCKCCACTCTGGTGAGWCCCCACCTGGAGGGCAGCATCCAGCTCTGGGGTCCCAGCWCAGGAAGGACATGGACCTGTTGGAGYGAGTCCTGAGRAAGCCAGGACAGTGATCAGAGGSCTGGCTGTGAAGACAGACTGAAAGAGTTGGGGTTTTTCAGCCTGAAGAAAAGAAGGCTCTGGGAAGACCYTTTTGTCTTTCAMTATAWAAAAGAGGGMTGATAAATGCAGAGAGAGACTTTTTASTAGAGCCTGTAGAGACAGGACAAGGGGGAACCATTTTAAACTAAAAGAGAGTAGGATTAGTTTTGTCATAAAGAATAAACTTGAGGCTGTAAAAGTCAGAAACATGAGGGGATGATCAGTGCACGGAAGCCACTGCATGAGGAGCTGAGAGAATGTGACTTTCCTGCTAACAGGAAAGGGACCCAAAATGGATGGACTTTGAGGGACCCAAGTGTCCAAGGGAGGAACACTTGCAGCAGTAGTCCACAGCAGAGCTTTGTGCACCATCTTCTAAAGACTGGATTACCTCTGCAGCAAATGAGGCCTTTACCACAGACATGAGGAAAAAAAAGACAAGGAAAAAAAGAAGAAATTGATGCTCGTAAGAAGATTGTTGCTATTACACAATGATGGCAGGCAAGCATGCAAAAATGAATGGGTAAGAAGCCCTCAGATTAAAATTCATATTGTGCATGTATTTAAGGACTAAGTTTAAATTTATGCATTCTTACCTGCAGCATTTGCTAATCTTTTGAATTTGTAACTTCAAGGTGCTCTTTYTGTTGTTTGTGTAAGTTAATAACAGTGTCATCTTGTGATGAAGCCTGCATTCAAACCATGCAAGGTGTGGAGGTAGCAGAGAGCAGAGCGCAGGCAGAGACACCTGACAAGTGGCCAGCTGTGGCTTTAGCTGCGTGCCAGACATCCCTGGAAAGACTTGCCAACCGATTACAGCACACCAGAGAAGGTCTGGGCAAAGAGCTAGAAATCAAAGTTCTAATTTCCTGACTCTAGCATGGCTGTGAGTCATAGCAAGTTTGGAAAAACTCTATTCCTGTCTCTCCTGAAGGATAATAATGCTATGGAGCTTGTTGGTGTTCAAAGTGTTAAAGAGATGTTTAAGGAATTATATAAATTATACTTATTGTAAAGGCTTATGCAATCACTTCTAATCAGAACCATAACATTTTCTTCTTTGGCTCAAACACAATCCTTTGAGATCTCTGTGTGTGTATATGTGTATTCATGAAGTATGCAATAAACAAGCTCTACTATGGTTCAAAAGAGCTTCATCTGGGCAATGACTGTGAGCCAGACAAAAGAATGAAAATGGCCAGAATCTTCCCCCCTCTCAAGCTGACAGATGTCATGCACTTCAAGAACAGCCTTTTCTTTTTTTCACTCCCTCATCTTTGAAGACCAGTGATCTATTTCATCTGTGTCAAACAAATGACTCTTGAAAGATGTTCTCTTAAAATTTATTTTCTCAACACTGGGGCATACAATTACTGCTGTTCACTCATGCTTTGCCTGTTTAGACATTGGAAGGATACATGTACTTTCTGTCATTGTTACAGCATTCCCAGAGTCCTGATTCGGGCTCTGCCCACCACCGGCTGTGGAGTCAGCAAGCCAAATGTTTTGGTACTTACAGAAGCMAAGAGTATCTTTACAAAGCTCATACCTGACCAGTGTGATGCCTGTCAGGTTCTGATCTGCTCTCAGTGAGATGTGAAAATGTAGTAGGAAACTGGAAAAGGACCCAAATGCTGCCTTTGGCATGCAGCTAGTTCCTGGCAGCGGAATTCCTCAGGGAGCACATGATCGGCATGTGTCAACCCCCGTGACTCAGAAGATAAAACGCTCCRCTAGCCAAGGCAAAGCAGGTCACAAGCGTAACTTCGGACGCAATTCAGAGAAGCACTCGGGTATCCTTTGCTTTGTAAGCGCTGTAGGATAAAGGAACAGGAYGCACAACAGGCACAGGATCTGTTGAAGGCTGTGTCCTAGCTATGCATTCAATCCCTTATATCACGGGAGAAGAAAGAATTGGCAGCAACGCAGTTGTAACATGTTAAAAGCCCACTGCTGTTTGGATTTGCTCTGTGCAGGATGAAAACATTACAATCAAACACATTTCAAATACAGGAGTCCAGCCTGAGAGACCGGAGCAAAGAACCTCGTTAAAACAGTCGCTCAACGTCGATTTGATCACATCAGGTTGCAGCAGTGTAGTTACAATTGTGACTCAACACGCACTCCAGCACCCTGTAAGGAAAACACGCCGTGGGCTGGCCGCCTGTTTGCCCGTGTCCATCCTTTGGTTCTCCAGCACAGCCCCAGAGCTGCCTTCACACTAAGGTGGCGAGAGCCGGGATGCTGCGGGAGCTTTCAGAGGTCCTGTGAACGGCGTGGCGGCTCCCGACGCTTCTGTCTCTGACGCTGCCCACGGGGCTGTGCGAAGCCTCGGCCCCGCGGCTCTGGAAAGCCCGGACGGTGCGGATAGCGCGGATGCAGACCACGGAGCTGGCAAAGTACAGGCACGAAGCCACGACACCGAAGAGGCCGACGGCCGCGTCGCCGCCCTGGACGTCGCAGCTCATGGAGGTGTATCCGCGGCGGGCGTAGAGCCGCTCCCGCCGCCGGCACACCTCGGTGGCGTTCACCTGCCGGACAAAGTGCAGGTACAGCCCCACGGCCGCCAGGTACGCCAGCCCGGCCAGCAGGCTGAAGGCGCATTCGCCCAGCAGCAGCCCTGTCCGGAGCTGCCGGATGGGTTTGGCCCCCACGACGAGGAAGACGAGGGTGAGCGTGGCCCCCGCCAGGCTGAAGGCCACCCCGCCGTACACGCACGGGGCTCGCATCTGGCTGAACTGCATGTCCAGCTCCCTGACCTCCCGCAGCTCCGTGCCCTCGAAYGGGCTGTACACCGAGTTCAGGTTGAAGGAGCCGAAGCCTCCGAGGTATGAGAAGCTTGCGACGGAGGCTTGGGAAGCACCCACGCAGATCAGCACCAGGAGGTTAACCGTGATTTCCACAAACTTCAAAATGCCTGAGAGGAACAGGAAGATGGGAATGGGTGTCAAAGCCACATCTTGTGCGAACTCTGGGTGACAGAAGTGCACCAAAACCATAGGCAGAGAGTACTAATATTGAGATATTCCTCTTGGCTACAGCTACAGAAAAGCGCTTGGGAAAATAAAAAAAAAAAAATAAAATAAAATAAAAGAGAAGCCTGAACTCTCTCGGGTACATTTTGGAGGCTGGGCAAATTACTTTTTTTAAATTTGTCAGTGTGTTTGATAGATGGATTTTCACGCAGTGAAAAAAAAATCCATAAAAATTTTACTGTGCTTGTGTTACTGCCAAGGCAAGCGCACAGTGATTGTATTTTGGCCTGTAACTACTTGGCATAAACACACTGAGCAAGAAATATCCAGTACGAACAAAATGCTGAGGTTGAGCTGACAAAAACCTAGAAGCTTCTAATGGCTTGAAAAATTGCTCAAGTTATTTAGGTCCTTCAAAATGTGTTTACTGCTTTAACTTACACCTTTTTTTTTCTGCAGAAGTATTTGTTAATTTAAATTTACTAYCTAACCAGATGAAATTTGCATTTCATCTCCTTCAGAGACAAAAAYCTCTTCATAACTCTGAAGAAGCAGCTTGTGATTGCAGAAAAAATAAACCAAGAAGGAGGGGAAGGGTGCAAGCCCCACCTTATAAGCAGAGATAAATTAAGTGAATTTCATATTAGGCCTCTTCATATTAGACCTCACCTTCAGAAGAAAGCCTTACAACTTCTGAGTTGACTCTCCACTTTTTTTAGGTTAGGCTAYTGGTAATAGCAAACAAGACTTTTAAAGGGGAAAGTACAAACAAAACCCAACACCAAAAAGCAGAGATATTACTTATTTTTGTGGTAGCTGCCTCTCAGGAAGGTGCCTCATGTTTGATAAATCTGATTATTCTGTGACAGCTCACTAGGGGTCAGACTAAGATTAGTAAACAAGACGGATGTTGAAACGTAGCAGAGCTAGAGTTGCCTACTGGGAAAAAGAAAACCTTTAGCGTGTCAGGCATGTTGCTCCAAAGTTCTGAAGTTAATTACAGAATTGTGAATCTTATTATTYCATTGCTGTCTGACAGCCAAGAATGTAAGATGCTTGACACAGTGGTCCTATATTTGTCTTTAAAGTGGGGCAGGATCTGTGGTTTGCGCACAGACTTTCATTTCATGCTGCTAACATTGATCCACATGGCATTTCCCTCCTGAGCAATGGCTCAGTTGCTGTCAAGGCTGTATGGGCTTGAAAAGGAAGGGCTGAAGCAGAAACACGAGGGAATTAAACGAATTCTTCTCTTGTGTTGCCAGATGCTTCTCACCAAAGAAAGCCAGTGACAGCCACAATGAAGGATTATTGGATATTCCCATTCTGCCTTTTCTTATTCCCTCCACTGAGGGCTGAGGCAGTGAGTCCTTTTCTGCTGCCACTTGCTCTGCACAGGAAGGTAGTGTTAGTAAGAGCAGAAAAAAAAGTTCCTCTTGTTCAAGAGGAACCGAGTGAGCAGTTCTGTGTGTGTGAAGTTCTCTGTGTGCAAAGGCAAAGCTGATTTCAGCATGACAGTGCCTTTTCTCTGACCCTTCTGCACAACCATTTCTGTGAAGAAGGGCAGTAACCATGCTAGTTACCAAATCTGTTCAGGAGGCTTCAAATACTTCAAAGGAGATATTTGTGGAGCTGAACATAAAGAGAAATTTAAATTTTGGCCTTGGAGTTAGGATCTGGAACTCCTTGTTCCAAATTCAAACAATGCAGCCAAAAGACTCATCATTTTTAATAGGTAAAGAGTCATCACTTTACTAGGACTGTTCATAGTATTTTGAAAGAGTAGTAGCTGTGCAGAACATTTGGAACTCAATCAGGTTGGGTTTTTTTTTGTCTGTTGCGTTGAGTTGTACATTATGCCTTCCAAATACAGGGAATTAACCTAGATCCTCAGGGCTCTTGGACAGTGTTGGATGCAGAAGGGCACTTCCCTTTCTAAAGGCTTACTAGTGATTTCATAGATGGTCTACCAGGAAACAGTTCTTACAAGTCTACATGTAGGAAAGACCATTTGATTAGGGGAAACATAAATTTTAAGTATGTTTGTCAGCCTGGTAGCTGGGAATTCATGATCAGTCAGCAGCTGACTTCAGAATTTCCTTTTTGTCTACGAGTACTGAGGCCCTCTGACTTGCTGAGCATCATTTTCCTCTACATCATGTTGCTGAGCTTTGGAAAAGGCAATTTTCTGTTGCCAAAGGAGCCACTGCCTGCTGCTAACCTCCCCACATTAATAACTGAYTCCAATCCTCAATATCACTGCTCCCAAACTTTCTACGTGTTCACACACATTCTGTATGCAGCCCCTTCACTCTACCGAGTTGATTGCTAATGGGATGACAAATGTGATCAGCGTGGGCCTACTGTATTTTTAGCTGCAGCAGTAGATGCTTTAAAGGCATGCCTSAAGAATTTCCTTAGACAGGGCATTCAGGTTGGACAGGTTTTGTGCCTGCACAGTTGTGACACGTGCTTGCTGTAGAATTGATTAGAGTGACTAAACAATGGAGAGAGGTTCATTAGCAGCTACTCCACCAGTTACTTGTATCATTTAGATTAACTATTTTTTTAAAGAAAGTGCAATAACAAAGCCTCCTGTATTAAAGACAATTCTAAAATGATAAGGAGTATGTAGAATGAATTACAGGTCTATGATGACAGCCAGCTGGGTTTATGAACGTAGCAGACAATTACTGGAAATGCCTAAGACCTCATATAATCATCARGGCTTTGATGGAAATATTAAGCCCTACAGTATGTTCAGACACAGGCACCCCAAAAGCCTCGTGCAACCTTAATCTCTGATAGTTAGAAGCTGATACCAAATCCTAYTCATATAAACAAGACAGACAGATTTGGAAAGTGAGGAACAAAAGGACAGGTAAGTTTTGAACCTTAGCTCTGTCAAGGCATGGTCACACACATCCTAGCWGTGACCTGTGTCAAGCAGTGTGCTGCTGCCAGAAAGGATTGAGTTRCAAGCCACGCTTCCAAGTCTGTGCTGCCACTTCCGCTTTCACAGGCCAGTTAGACAAGTCATCTTGGAGTTATACCTGCAGAAACCAGACTGCCAAAAGRTCTTCCTTGGGGGAAGTTGCTTATCTCTACAGTAATTCCCTAATCCTATGCCAACAATGAATGCATTGGAAGATTCATGTGTAAAACGACAGGAGGTCTGAACRGCTCAAAATTCTATTGGCTTGGTTATTTTTTTTTCCTTTCTCAGGGTCAAAATCTTTGGATTTATCTAAAATGTTACTCATTTGTATTAAAATCAGCACAGTGAACAGCTCGCTTTGGGAACTAACCTCCTTACTGAGCACTTTACAAGACTCAAGTCAGGGATCCCAGATTGACATATTTTCCAGGCTTCTTTCCTACACTGCTTTTCAGCACTGAAGGTGAGGAGAATCACTGCTATCTAGAAGACAGTGGGTGTTGGCCAGAGCTTTCCAGAGAATTGTTTCATTCGTTCTATAAAGTCTAAGTCTGCAGTGCATAGTAACTTCAATGTATCATACTTGTAAATTTTGCTTGAATCCAGTTGTCTTATTCTGTGAGTAGGCTTCCTGCTATAACCAACAGCAGCCTTCCAGTTCATGCTATTCATCTACTATTTGCTTTTTCATTCCCTTTCTTTTCCTTGCTGGGCTATTTCCATGGTATCAGCCCACTGAACAATGGTTTCATCTTCTGTCCCATGGTAGGCTTGACCATCCAGCAAAGCAGCTAGGCAGGAATGTTAAGGGTACAGACTCACAGGCAGCTGACTTTGACAGCTCCCACCCTTGGCTGGGCAGGCTCTACTTTTCTCCCTTACCTCCACGTGAAACCCTTCCAAGARCTGTTCAAATAAATTAAAATAGCAGCAAACTATTTAACTCCTTTTTGTGTATGCTGCTGTTTTTCACTGCAACTTTAGCAACCTGAGGTGACTCAAAGCATACCTGATGAGCAATTATGTTGGCATGAGTTTAGCAGGGGCAGTAACAGCCAGGACCAGAGAAGGACCAGAAACTCTCCTTCTCAGGTAAGGTGAGCTGTAATAYCTGCATCCTCTGGCTCATAAAACCACACTGTGGCTGAATGTGTGGCAACTTAGCTGTGCACTCAAGTCTTGTGTGTCAGAAGCTGCAAAGAGGGATTTTCATCCAGGCACTGTGGCAGGATGGCCCTGATGCTGAGGTGTGGGGGTCCTGGTGTGTGTGTACACGTGTACATAAAGTAAAATGGTCAATTCTTGTTTATCCCTTTGTTTCTGCATCTGCCATAAATGAATTTGCAGGACAAATGAATTTGCTGAATTCCCCTGACCCCATGAGGGCCAGACTAAGAGAGAAGGCCTTCAAAGCATCTCACTCCACTGTCTGGCACAGGAAACGCCTTCTTCCACTGTTGAATGCACATGGACTCCTCCTCCTGCYTCTTTTGGTATCATTCCCTCCTCCTTCAGTGAACCTTGCCGTGCACTTCCAAGATATTCTATGTCYATCATTCTCTATTCTAGCTTGCCTTCTCCCTCTTCTTGCTTTGCAGACAATGTACCACTGGTACCAGCAGGACCCAGAGGCGGCCCTGGAGGTGTGTGGCTGCCCCTTTTGGACACCTGGACGGCAGTGGCAGCACTGGTGACACACAGGTCAGTGGCATCCATGTCACATCCCATTAGGGGTCGCTCCAGGAGAAGCGAACAACACATGCATGAAAAATCATTCTCTGAGCCTTTTTCACTGGAATTTGTCATTTGGTTCTTTTGTTCCCCCAGTTTCAGTAGCCTTCTGCTTTTCAGAGGTAATCTTTCTTTTTATTTCTTTTTTWACCCCCCACAAAGGAGCAGACAAGTATTTTGACCATATATAGTGACTTACAAAAGCAGCAGTCAGTCCTGAAAAGGATCTCAAGTGCAGAACATTTCTTGCTTGTGCAGGTTTGGCATTCCCCA